GCTGCTGTAGCTGCTGTTGCTGCTGCTGCTGCTTTGCCGCCTGCTTGCGCTTCCGGCGCTCTGCCTTGGACTCGTACTCGTGCCAGTCACCCGAGACCGGGAACGAGGTGGGCGGCTCTGGCGCAGGCGACTCTGAAAAGAACCTGTGGCCCAGGCACTGCGCCGCCGATGGGCGCGCAGTCGGGTCCAGCGCCAGCATCCAGCAGATCAGATCGACGGCGCTGGCAGTCATCTTGGGGGCGAGCATCGACGGCAGCCGGTTCTCGTAGCGGGCACTGGGCTTCATGTAGCACGCCCACGGCAGCTTCTTGAAGCGGGCCCAGACCTCCGGCGATGGCGTGCCCACCTGCTTGAAGATCTGCTCCAGCTGGTCGATATCGTTCTGGCCCTGGAACGCAGGCTTCTTTAGGAATAGCTCCAGAAGCACACACCCAAGCGACCAGATGTCGACCTCGGGCCCATACAGGGTGGTGCCCAGCAGCAGCTCTGGCGGGCGGTACCACAGCGTGATGACTCGGTTGGTGAACTCTTGCATGCGCCGGTGGTGGAACGACCGCGCCAGCCCAAAGTCCACGTACTTGACCTGGCCTTGCTGGTTGACCAGCAGGTTCGAGCCCTTAATGTCCCGGTGCAGAATGCCCCGGGTATGCATGAATCCCAGCCCGTCCAGGAGCTGCTGCATCAGCGACTTTTGGTGGGCCGGATCCGGGTTCCATTGCGGGTGGTTGATGAGCCCCGACAGATCAAAGTCCATGTACTCCATCACCACACACACGGCGTTGCCGGTCTCGGGAACAACGTCCAGCACCTGCGTAATGTTGGGGTGCTGGAGCTGCTTCAGCAGGCGGATCTCGCGCATGGCCGTTATTGGAAAGCCCTCGCGCTCCATATCTATACGCATCCGCTTCAGCGCAACCACCTGCCCCGTCTCCTTGTTGCGTGCCTTGTACACCTTGCCATACGTGCCCTCGCCAACCATGCTTATCCGCGAATATAGCTGGATGCCCTCGGCCGGGCTGCGCTGCCGGGATGCCGGTGTCAGCGGGCTTGCTGTATCGGGGGCTTGGGCACTGACTGCGGACGGCGCGCGCAAAACATGCGGCGGCGGCACTGGCGGTCGCGGAGACAGCGGCAGCGCAGGCGGCGGCGGCGGAGGGGGTGTCTCGGGGGGCGGCGGCGGCGGCGGGGTCATAGGCGGCGGCTGGTACTCTCCAGTCCGCGGGCGGTGCACGGGCGAGGGATTGTAGTAGTGCTGGTGGCGCCGGCGGCTGCTCCGTGGAGGCCCCTCGGCAGTGCTGGCGCTCGTGCCTGCTGCCGCAGCCGGATATTCTCGGCCAGGAGCCTCGTCGTGAGGCCGCTTATGCGTAGGGTGGTGGTTCCTGGGTATCGACCTGGAGCGGGACCGCTTCCCCAGCTGTCTATTGCGGTCGCCCCCCTCGTATCGCTGCTCGTACGGGCCACGGCTGCGCCCATAGCGTCCGCTGCGGCGGTCCCGCTCGTCGCCCGCCGCATACTCTGGCGGCGGGTACCGCAGATCGCCTGCGTCATCGCCGTACCCCCGGTGCCGATGCCGGGCCGACTCGTACGATCTGCTGCTCTGCGAGTAGCCCCGCGGTCCCCGATCGGGCCGGTCGTCGTGCGGGTAGGGCCGGGTCTGTCGCCGGCTCCGCCAATCACCGTCTTCGCGGCGGCCTCGCCGGTCGTATTCGCGGCCCCAGCTACGGCCAGACCGACTGTCTCGGCTGCTGGCGCGTTCGTAGTGCCGGCCGTGGCCGCTTTGCTCGGGGCTTCTGCCGCTGGACATTGGCGTAGTGAAGCGTCCTCTGAAGCGCCTTCGCGTCAGGCAGGCGTGAAAATGGGCGATGCACAAAGAAAATGAGATCCAGGCGGAGGAAGCAAAACGCACTTTTGCAGCTTTTCCTTTTTCCACCCTCTAAAGACCCGCCCGCGCAAACGCTGCAAACAGAAAAAAAGGCACTGAACCGCGATCGCTTCTCACAGGCCCGCCCGCC